GCTTCACCACCTGCCAAAGGTCTTTTAGAGAACAGGAAGAAAATACACCAATGAAATGCGACCATCTATTCTTAATTTTGAGTTTGCCACTGAATGTACATATTTTGTTTTCTTCCACCGAAGTGGGAAATAACCAAGAAGCCTGAATTCCAAGGGTTACTAAAAGTGGTGAGCCATGCAGAGGGTACAAAACAGAGAAAAGAAGAAAACAGACAACCCAGAAATAGGAGGCAATGTCAATTAAGAGAGGAAATAGAAGGAAAGAGTGGTTAGGACAAAACAAATGAATTGTGCAGATATTTGCCTCTGTGTTTATTTTTAACAAGAGTTGAGATGGCCTCATGAGCACATCTGGAATGAAGACACACACAAGCCAGGCAGGAATGAAATGAGAGCTGCAGGGAACAATGGATCTGGCTGCACGGGACTGAGTGATTATAGCATATCCAAGAAAGACCGAAGCTTGACACGGAGGTGCACACCTGTACTCTCAGTACTCTGGGAGGCTGAGGCAAGAGAATCACACATTTGAACCTAATGTGGGGGTCCTAGCCACTTAGCAAGAATCTGTCTCAAAATTTTTAAAAAATGAGCTGGAGATGTAGGTCAGGGTGAAGGACTTGTGCATAATCCCCAGATTTACACACACACACACACACACACACACACAGAGAGAGAGAGAGACAGAGAGAGAGAGAGAGAGAGAGAGAGAGAGAGAGAGAGGAAATTGATGTGCATTTGTGGTACAGGAGTAGCATCACTGCGTCTTTGCTAGCGTGCAGAAGGCAGGTAAGCAGGTATCTGTGCTTCTCCAAGCACAGAGGTAAGTCCCCACATGGGAGGTGGATGCTAACATGTGTTGGAACAAGCTACACACCAGCGGGCTAACTCAAAGTAACATATAAGAAACCAGGACCGTGGGGGTGAATTTCAGGTGACTCATTGGAACAGAAGGAGAGAGTTGGCTTTGAGATTAAAGAGAGACAAAAAAAGACTCTGGGCTTTCCCAAACTCTAATTAGTCTCTGGTGTAGTAGTTTTAGAAACATCTAGAATATTGTCTGAATTTGAAAGGCTTTTTCCTACTGTTTCAAATATTATTCACAGAAAATGTTTATATTCAGTATCTTCATAGATCTTGAAAAGTTGCTAGCACCTCGTGTTCATCATTAATGAATCATCACTGACGGAGCGAATCAACCATGTTCCCAAATGAGGGATATATCTTACATTAATTAAAATGGGCATCAATAATGTGCAAGATTTAGCCTATATTTTCTTTATGGCCACCATTTGGCAAATTGAGGACGAGAGCTTTAGCAATTCGATTTTCCCTCTGAGGAAAGTTTAGTAACTATCAAGATAAATCCTGGAAGCTCTTTCTTGAGGTTCCCAAGGCTCGTTAAGCACTTGAAGAGGACACTGGACATTCTGCAGTGTCTGGTGAGATAATCCAGTGGAGGTGTGAGAGGAAGTCCAGCTGTAACTACCACAGTCAGCGAATCGTGGACTGTGCATTCGTGGCAGTGGTTGGGATGATGGGTAGTAGGCCAAGCTGGCCCTTTTGGACTTGGCTCAGATTCTACTTTTCTATTTCAGAGGAGGAAGGAAAAAATTTTTTTTCTTTTGCTTTCTCTTGTGCTAGAGAAGAGGAAGGGGGAGGCTGAGGCAGGAGTGCAAACCAAGGATGTGTAGTGGACAGAAAGGGAAGGTCAGACAGAGATCTTGCCAACCACTGACTCACTGATGGTTGAGAGCACCTGACTTTAGGGACACGTGGAAACCCAGCCCGTGGAGGAAGTCACGCCCTTCTTCACAGCGACAAAAGCTTTGGGATCACAAGATGCTGGTTGATCCATCCAAGCCAGAGTATATGATAGGATTCAGCTTTTAAATTCAGGTCCTTTAAGGTTTTTTTTTTCTTTTTGTCTTTTTCCTTTTTATGGGTACCAGGGATCAAACTCATGACTGCCTGCTTGCAAGGCAGGCGCTTATGCCGCTGAGCTAACTCCCCAGCCCCAGGTCCTTTAAGTTTTTGGGATCGACAATGATCAATATTTCCAATTGTCCCTTCAAAGGCTCTAACCCTTAGCCACTAGTGTTCTTGCTTTAATTTTCCCAACATTGTGTCATTGGATCACCTACTGTGGCTGCTTCAAAGCACAGAGGTGTGTGGTTGTACATGCAAAGTCCTCTTTGTAGAATGGGCTCTAAATTCTGCTTACAAACATTTACACAGCCCCTTGTTATTTTCACAGCTTATTGAGATCATTTCATCTTTCTCCCAAAACAAGCTCCTATTCATAGAGAGTAATAAAAAATCCAGCAGCCCTCACCTCTAGAACACCTGTGTGCATACTTGGAACGTGCCTTGACCCTTTCACCATCTCAGGAACCCTTGTCAACTACACAGTGCTATCCTGGCTTTACATGGGAGACCTCAGCAAGGTTAGCCAGTGTCTTTTGGCTACATGTTGGCTGCTCTTCAATACAGTGTCTTTCAGTTTATGATGTTTGCTCATAACCGGAAAGTCCTCCAGATTATGGATTCATTGTTATTACCATCTCCATTTTACAGATGGTGACCCTGAAATTTAGAGAAGTTGTGTGACCAGGTAACATCACTTACAGGCGACTTAGCTCATTTTCACACGTGTCCTCCTCTTCTACATACCGTACTATTTCAGTGGTTCGTGGGAGAAAACACGGGAGCTCTCAGACACAAATCCCCTCAAATTTCTTTATATCCACTTTCAAATTTATCTTAAACCCCTCTTCTCTGGTGTCTCGAAGAGAAGCTGATTCTATTCCATGTTCCTCAAAGTTCTCTCCTTATGCCCAGGGCATCTTATTTAACCCCAAGTCTTATTTTAGTTCTACAGAGAACACTCTCAAGTCTTTCTCTCTGAAATCCATTATTGTTATGAACCACTTAAAGAACATCTTTTTTTATTTCAGTGTTGGGGTTTGAACCCTGGACTTTATGATAGGTAAAAAAGCTCTATCAAAGAGCTACATCCTCAGCCCCAAGTCCCTCATTCCCCTTTTAAAATTTTGTGCAAAATCTTGCTAGGTTGCTTAGGCTGGCCTGGAAGTTGTGATTTTCCTGCCTCATCCTCCCAAGCAGTTGAGATTACAGGCACTGTACTTAGCTCAAGAGCATCTTTGCTTGATTATGTACTTTTGTAGATACTCTCTACCCCATTTTAAGAGCTCAGCTTCCTACAACTCACTCCCAGTCTGCTGGTTTCTTTGGCATTCTCCATGTACTTGCATATCTCTGTGCTTTGCTTACACTGCTGGGAAGGTTGTTCTTTTTCTCTACTTGTCAAAATTCTATTATTGATTTATTCATCTCAAGTATTATAACTAGTGTTGTGGTTTAGACACAAAATGTCTCCCCAAGTTCTCGTGTACAACACTCAACAGTGGATTCTTCCAGGGATCATTTCATAGCTGAATGTGCTGTCTGGAGGTTGACCTGGTTGGAGGCAGGTCAGTCACTGTGAGTGTGACCTAGAAGGGTGTATTGTTGTGCCTGATTCCTCCTTTTTCTGCCTGCTTTCCGGCTGCCATAGGATGATCCCCTGTTCTCCAGCCAATCCCTTCCACCATGCTAGTTCCACTTTGAATCCACCAACCATGAATCCTCTGACACTGTGAGCCAAAACATACCTCTTCCCCTTTAGATTGCGGGCACTGGTGGTTATTGTGTCTCAGTGATGGGAAAGCTGACTAAGCTCATCGATTGTGAATACTTTTCCCCTTCTACTTGTCGGATGACTGTCTGTACTCCGATTTTTCAAAGCACTTTGCTTATTGTAATTTGCACATCAATTATCACATGAGAAAACTTTGTCTCCACCTCTGTCTCAACATATAAGCAAAATCAACACAAGAAGAAAATTATATTTACTGCTACCTCCCTCAATAGAATGAGTGTGGCTTAGTATTTGTTTAAAAGGAGTAAAAGAATGAGGAAATGAAAGTGACTCAGCTACTACTTCATTTTTTCAATACACCCAAAGAGGGTATGCACAGATACCCCTCCTTATCTCAAATTTTGTTTTCCTGGGTATTTGTCTTGTTTGCTTTGTGAAGATATTAATTTTTTTAAGTCTGCTGTATGAAATCATGAAGTAGGAAATTTTTCTTGTAATTATAGCACTATCATTCTGGACGTGAAAGCTACAGAAATATCCCCAAATTAAAATTTATATTTATTAATTTTAAACTAAGACAATAGGAATTGATCCTGTTGTATTAATAAGTGCTTATGCTCATACACCACGGTACACTTCATTAGAATGAAATAATGAGTTTGTAAAAATGGGGAGGAAAAGCCAGCCTAAATAATGAAATCCAGAATTTATTAAAAGCAATGCAGTTTTATTACTTTCAATACTAAAATCTATAAATAAAGTCTGTCTAAGGAGACATCTACTTAATGATATGGACCCTTACTTTATAGCTAAATTTTTTGTGTATAAAGACCATACTCTAGATCCATGAAAACAATGCCTTTTTAGCATAGGTTACAAGTGTTCTCCCTCTTATGATTAGTAAATACATTCCTTATAGATTATTCCAAGGTGAATTTTAGGTTAGTCCAGATAAAGTTGCCACTGATTGCGTATTAGCAGTGTCTGAGTTAATAATATTTTATGGTACTCATAGGATACATTTTGGAAACTAAAGAATATAGTACAATGTACCAGGGAAGTGATATGCACTTTGAAAATAAACATAGGAAAAGTGTCAACCTTTTCAAATAAGAAAAATATTAACAGTCATCAAGCTTCCTATAATGGAAATATATTTCCAGAGCCCTTGGTTTTCTCTGTAAATTTTGCGGTCTGCTGTCTGCAGAGACTCTCTACACTCCAGCAGGGTCACCTGGGCTGTGCTTTCCAGTGATCACTATCATCACCAGAACCTGTGCTGAGAAGCAGCCTTGGGGTTTGCTACGGGGGACTCAGACATTCTGAGGAGGTTACTCACTGGTTCTGAGTGCAGGCTGCAAGTAATTTACTGGCCCCCATCCTGGAAAAGAAGGGGAAAGAAAAGCACATGTCACCATCACATCCAATGACATTTGCACAACTTTCACACAAATATTCCAACAAGCCTATAATATTTTATTTGTATAAGGAAAATCAAGGAGATGGGGAAAGTCACAAAATGAAATATGTCATCTCTTATGTTGCAAGACTAATTAATGGAGAAGTGACAGCAAATCTGTTTTCACCTTCAAACTTTGCCAGACAAGACAGTTTGTGCCTGTGCCCTCTGCGGCAGGGAAAGGAGGTGGGGTTGGGGATGGAAACGACCATCAGAGAGAAGGTGAATTCCCCTGGTACTTAGTGTCCTGCTCTATCACGGATCAGCATGTTAGCCTACAACCACATTTTCCACTAAAATACTGGTGTAAAATTGAATGCTTAAATGTCTTTGGGTAGCATCGATACTCAGGGTAGCCACGCCCTGTGCCTTTCCAGGGACTCACTGTCAGTGGTCCGCTGCAGGATGCCTTAGTTTGGAAGGCTTGGCAAAGTACATGAACTGAAATCTAGGATGAAAGAAAAGGGCTTTCAAGGAAGCAATCAATGGATATTTAAATTATCCAGAACTAATAGTAGTATACTCTGTAGTAAAGAACAATGAGATACGGTTATTTTTTAAAAACCTGATGATCGAGAAGGTCCTCTTTCTACCCAATGAAGTTGGTTAGATGTAACACAGAATATTTTTTCTTGTTCAGCCATCTGGGGGGAGAGGAGAGCTCTGCTCATGCTGTGAATGCTTCTTGGGAATAGAAAGCAGCTACTTACAGGCTAATATAAGGCTTTTTGAGTTTTGGAAGTCCAATTTTTTCCTTACATAGCATATTATAAATACATAATATAAAATATAATCTCATATACTATATCATATATTTTATACAATGTTTAATTATGATGTAATAAATAACTTATCATGTTATACTTTATACTCTTATATATTTGATACATAGATAATGTTTTCTCCCTACATGCTTTTTTTTTAATTTTACTTTATTTTAAAAAGAGAAAAGTCAGAAAAGAAAAATAAAAAACAAAAAGCATAACAGCAGCAAACTCAAAACAATAATATAGGTTTTAAAAACAGAATGAAAGAAATTTAACAATATTTGCTATATTGCATATTGTTCTCTCTTTTTTTTTTACAAAGAAAGAAAATAGAAAAACAGAAAATAAGGATAGAACAATACCTAACTCAAAAAAATTAATCATAGAATCGCTAGTTGATACATTATTCATTGTCATCTTAAAAAATAGTTGCCACAGTCACAAAATCAAAGCATAAATAGTGGCTAGACACTCAAACACTGACAATGCAAATCCTTCTGTTCAATGTTCCAACAGAGATTCAGTCATATGGTCATCTATCTTACACACTATACATACCATTATACTCTTTAGAGCATTTTTTTCCTTCCCTTTCACCATCTCTATTATACCTTTTGGATCCCATTATTCTGTCAGTTTTTATTATTATTTTACACTAAAGAGACAATGTAATATTTACTAATGTTAGTGTTATTTCACTAAAGAGGATATTTTCAAGTTGCTTCCATTTAGCTATAAAGGCCTCAAGGTCATCCTTTTTTATATTTGAGTAGTATTCCACTATATAAAAATACCACATTTTTTTCACCCACTCTGCAGTTGGTGGGTATTCTGGTTGTTTCTAAGATTTAGCTATCACAAATTGTGCTGCTATGAACTTGAGTGCACATATATCTCTGTGACATGATCTTTTCAATTTTTCTGGGACTATACACAGGAGGGGAATAGTGAGATTGAATGGAACTTCCAATTCTAGTTTTTTGAGGAGCCTCCATACTGATTTCCACACTGGTTGCACCAGTCTGCACTCCCACCAACAATGGAGCAGTGTTCCTTTTCCCCCACAGCCTCGCCAACATTTGTTATCAGCTGTTTTCTTGACAGTAGCTGTTCTTTCCATGGTGAGATGAAATCTCAGTGCTGTTTTAATTTGCATTTCTTGAATGACCAGTGATGGTGAACATTTCTTCATGCATTTATTTGCCATTTGTATATCTTCATCTGAGAACTGCGTTCATTCAGAGGCCCACTTTTGGAGAGGGTCTTTGACTTTGGAGGGGCTTGATGTTTTTCAGTTCTTTATATATTCTGGATATAAGCCCTTTGTCTGAGGGATTGTTGGCTATAATTTTTTCCCATTCTGTGGTTTTCACTTCGTTGGTCATTTCTTTTAAAGTGCAGAAACTTTTCAATAATATGAAATCCCAGTTGTTAATACTTTGAAGCGTTTCCCATGCAGTTTGCATTTTATTCATGAATTCTTCCCGTAGATTTAGTATTTCTGTTTTAATATTTAGATATTTGATCCATTTAGACTTTAGTTTTGTGCATGGTGATATGCGTAGGTCCAGCATGTGGAAAGCCAATTTTTTCAGCACCATTTATTAAAGAGGCCATCATTCTCCCAGTGAACATGTTTAGCACCTTTGTCAAATATCAGGTGGCTGAGTGTCTTTGTAGTTGTGTTTGCATCTTCTAGTCTGTTCCATTGATCCTCAGGTTTATTTCTTTGCCAGTACCATGCTAATTTTCCCTGCATGCTTTTTAACAAAACAATGTTTTCAAAATATGTTTATTACAACTCAAACTATTATGTGGAATGATGTAACTCAAGCAATGGTGGGAGTATTAATTATCTGTCCTATCTTGCTCCATTTCAATAATCCACTATCAGTGTGACTAAGAATATTGCTTTTCTAACCCTAATTGAGAGCAAGATTTTCTTGGCTTTTGTCTTCTTAATCAGTCTTTTACTAAATTTTATTTGTGCTAAAATGCATCAGATTCTACTTATATCAGTGAAATGATATTCTATTTTGAGAATGATTTGAAAAATATATCCAAGGGCACTTTCCATTTGTATTGTTGTAAGCTGCCTAGTATAAAGTATCAGCAGCTCTACTTGATTTATTAATTTCTACATTTTGGATAAGGGCGTTTATAAGTCATTTATAAAATGCATCAATAAGTTATAGCTCCTTCAGTACAACTGATCCCCATGGTTGGAACGTGATATGTAATCTACTACTTCAATCGACTTCAATGCAATTCAACTCCATATTTACCTGTTCACCCATGTAACAGCAGCACGATTAAGGTCACATTCTCATGGCTTAGTGATAAGAGTATTGTTTAGGCTAGAACTTCCTCCATACAGAACTGATTTTATTCAGCATATTATCATTATTTATGTAGTCTATAATTTAAACATGGAAGGAAATTAAATTGGTGCAGAAAAATAGCTACTAGGAAGGAAAAAGCAGCTGCTTCTTCCTCTCTTTTGATAGTCTGGTAAGTTGTTTATTGATTGTATGATGGATTGTTCTCATCAGGTACTGCTTTGAAGCTATCTCGATTATAATGATGAAGTCATTTGCTTTAAAAATGTGGACATGACAGGTTCTCTCCTCCAGCACCATGATGGCTCAAATATATAAAGAGAATGCAAGGTCAACTGCCAATTTCTTAAGTATATCTGGAACCTGACATTGGGACACAACAATGAGAGTTCACTCTGGTATTGGACACTCTTCTCTGGTCTGGTTTAACTCTGTCCACCTTTAAGCCCCAAGCGTATTAATCAGATACATATCTCCAACATTATGTAGTGAACTTGTTGACCCCAGTCTGATCCAGCTTCATTCTTTTTTATAACTTCTCTGAACCTAGTGCAGAATCATACATAAATATGTAGTGAATAAATTACTTTTTTGAGAGAAATATTGCTTTGAGTATCTATAAAAAGACAGGAAGCTTCTCATGAGTTATCTTCTAGGAAAAGTGTTCTCATATACTTTCCAATAATCACATGATCATAGAGTATGTAGCTCTTCAAAGGCTTTGTCCATACTGTATCTCCTAAATCATTGTTATTCCTATTTATATTTTTATGTAATGAGTATGTAGGAAGCTAGGTTCAGGCCTCACAACCAGTAGTAAGACTGTAGTAAGACTGGCTTACCTGATATGTGATACTGTATTAAGTAAATAAGAAGGTTCACCTATGCTTGACAATAAATACGACTTTAAATATCAGCTCTGGGACTTTGCTTTACAGAACAGAAATCAATTGTTTCAGCAGAGCAGGTAAAATTAGTAGGAGTTTTAAATTGAACCTCCAGTGTACATGCTTTCATATTGTGTTTACAAGATTGAATATGTAATTAAGGCTTATTTCGTTGCATGTAGACAATCTATTGAAATAGGATCTTTCCCTTCATCCCACTACTTTAATCTGAGTCATCTCTGTTTTCTGCATTGGAGCATGTTTCACCTATTGAAACTTGCTGTAAACACCATAATAAGTGAAGCAGTCTAGAGCTTTGTTGGAAAATCAATTTTTAAAAAAATTAGCATGTCAATGATCCTTATCCCAAGGGCTGGAAGCTTTGTGCAGCCTGAATAACACATTGAGCTACGGACACCTCAACAGTGCGAGGACACACAAAAGAACTCGAAGTAATTTTTCTAGGCACATGATATATTAATGATGCTGCTTATCATCATCCTTCCCTACTAGTGAGCACGATGATAGGAAAAGGTTAGACATCTTTCTAAGGCCATGGGGCAACGTTAAAATGGAAATAGAATTACATTTGGATTGCCAAAGCCTTGTCTCAGTAATGGATCAAGTTTTTATTCTTTCCAGCTAAATCTTGCAGAAATGTGATTAACAATACCCTTGTTTTATGCACAGATATTTGGATGCAAAAAAAAAAATAAATCATTGCAGTGAAATTTAGGTCCTTTGTGGTCTAATATTTGGTTGCTGAATTAAAAAAATCATCCCCAAATTTTGTTTTGAAATACAGATTTGACCTAATCTTACCTTTTTTTCCACCTTCTTTTAAAATTGCCTGGATGCACGCTTATTAAATCAATAGTAATCACAATAACAGCTAACATGTACTGCATACGTATTAAATACCACGAATG